AAGATCCCAGTCCCTCCTAGCGGTGTCACCACCCCCATGGCCGGTGGTGGTTTGGGAAGTCCGCAAGAGGGGCTTGCCACGCCACAGAATGGGCTGCGGACACCACGCGAGCCGGAAAGAATCACACAGCAACACGTTGAGGACGTTGTCTAGGGTTGAACTCCGGATTGTGGCTGCTGTAACTTCTTCGTCGTTGTATATCCATGCATGAAATAGATGTAATGAATTGAGCGTGAACGTGAAGACAAGACGCTAGCCACCATGGAGCGTAGAAACAAATACAATGTTATCCCCTTGCTGAAGCTCGTACTTCTCTTCACCTTCGAGTTCCCAATCGGCATCGTTAATAAGGACAAGGATCCCGGGCCGTCTGTTGCTCGTCAATCAGCAAAACGTTGTGCAACCTGTCACTCTTCCCCGGGATGACCTACACATTGTCTTCTAATATGAACAAATCTTTCCTCTCGTCCCTCATGACATTATCGACAAGGTATTGGAGGAGATAGGCGATATTTGGCCGAATGCCGTCGCTTAACTGCGCGGGAATTGCGACATCATGTTTGCGCTCGTTTGAGAACAAAATCTCCAGACCACCGCTATAACAGCAAGTATTAGAGACTATCTTAAAATCATCGTCAGAATAGAAAGAGGGTGCGAACGTGAACTCGACAGTGATCGAAATGGCACCCGAATCATTTTTTCCCGGCGCAGAGGTAGCCATCTTGGACGGGTTTAAAAGCCTCAACAAGCGGTATATCAGTCAAATAGAATGTTTCGTAGATGATTTGAATGATTAACAATGCCTAATGTAGGATGAAGGTTGTAGAATGATTGAATGATTGATTGATGGACGAAATGACGAGGGGTTCTCCGATTTGACAAGACCCTTATCGATAAGCCCGCGTTCACAAAAAGTCGTCCTTCAATCTCTCCGGATTTTGACCCATTGCGATAGTAGCGACGCCCTCCGAACTCGCTCTTTTTAGGTCCTTATTTCCTTTTCTGTCGCACCGGAGGATCGATAATATTTGTGTCAGGTGTGGTCTCCATGGTGTCCATCACAACCGACTATATCAGCGCTGGGGGGAACCGGCACCCGGCCGCCGCGGACTGGGACGTTCAGTCGGGCGTGCTCGCCTTTGGTGCAGACCAGAATGTGGCCTTGTGGGACCCAAGAGTATGTGCTACGAGCTGCCTTGCTTCTGTTATATTGCTTTTTCTCCATGCGAAATGGATGCTGAACGGTTGCCCATAGGAGAATTCTCAACGCGGGGTCCATTCTCTCCTCGTCGGACATACCGACAAAGTCAGCGCAGTCAGATTCTACAAATGCCCATCAACAGGCACGAAACTCCTCGTTACCGGATCGGTAGATCGCACAGTTCGGATATGGCGATCCAGCACAACGGACGCGCGCCAATTTGAACTTGCGCAGACTCTTGAGGGACACGCGGGCTCAGTAAATGCGGTTGCAGTGGCTGATGGCACGAATGTTATCGCATCGGGGGCAGCAGATGGAAGCGTGCGAGTGTGGAGAATCTCTGTCGACGAAGGCACAAGTGCAGAATTGGTCCAGAGCATAACTATGAAGCCGCGGTTCTTCCCCATGACCTTATCATTGAGCCGACTCCAGACCGACGGGAAGGAGGGGCCTGTTGTGTTGGCGGTTGCAGGAACCACCAACATTGTGCAGATCTTCGTTTCTGAGAACACGGCAACGGATCCTAGGTTTAAACTTTGTGCAACACTATCGGGCCACGAGGCGTGGGTGAGATCTCTTTCTTTCACAAATGACAAGCAGAGCAAGACGGACGATCTTCTGCTGGCGTCGGCTAGCCAGGACAAATACATTCGACTTTGGCGAGTACATCGCGGAGAAGCTGCACCGGCTGCGCCGGCAGACGAGACAGACCCTATGCTGGGAGGAATGGAACCGACATTGACGAACAAAGCCCATGAATTTGAGGCATTGGGGTCTAAATATACGATCACTTTTGAAGCGCTTCTTTTCGGCAATGAGGATTGGATCTACACCATAACATGGAATCCTAACCCGGAGCGACAGCAGCTTCTCGCTGCATCAGCAGATAACACCCTGACGATCTGGGAGCAAGACTCCGTGTCTGGAGTTTGGGTTTCGATGGAGCGCATGGGAGAGATTAGCGTACAGAAGGGCTCTACGACAGCTACCGGCAGTACAGGCGGGTTCTGGATTGGTCTGTGGTCGCCAGATGGTGAGCAGGTTGTAAGCTTGGGTCGAACGGGTAGCTGGAGATCGTGGAAGTATGATGCGGACGCCGATATTTGGGCTCAAACGTTGGGAATCTCCGGTCATGTACGATCGGTCAACGGCGTACAATGGGAACCGTCTGGTGGATATCTTCTCTCGACGAGTGCGGATCAGACCACACGTCTCCATGCGCAATGGTTGCGCGAACAGCTGCGATCATGGCATGAGTTTGCAAGACCACAAATTCATGGTTATGATCTGAATTGTGTGGACATTCTGGGTCCTGCGAGATTTGTCTCTGGTGCAGACGAAAAACTTCTACGAGTGTTCAACGAGCCCAAGCAAATCGCTCAACTCCTTGAGAAACTTTCCGGATTTCAGCAGTCAACCGAGGAAGTGCTTCCAGACACTGCGCAAATGCCAGTACTGGGGCTTTCGAACCAGGTGACTAGTGAAGAGACCCCGTTGGAAGAAGAAGACGAGAATAGCGCACAGACCGGACAAGTCCAGGCCAGCTTAGCCGAGTCTAACGAGCCTCCCCTTGAAGACCAGCTGGCTCGCTACACACTATGGCCCGAGCACGAGAAGTTGTACGGCCATGGTTACGAAATATCCGCGGTTGCTGTCAGCCACGACCACACATTGATTGCTACTGCTTGCAAGGCCAGTTCTCTCGACCATGCCGTGATACGTCTGTACGATACATCGGACTGGCATGAGATCCGACCTCCTCTTACTGCACACTCTTTGACGATAACGAGCCTCTGTTTCTCCGGCGATGATCGGTATCTTGTCAGTGTTGGACGAGACCGTCAATGGGCTGTTTTCCAACGAAATGAGCAAGGGCCGTCTTCTTTCTCGCTTCTACAATCCAACCCCAAGGGACACTCTAGAATGATACTAGACGCGTCATGGGCACCTATGACAGACAAGCCCGTCTTTGCAACAGCAGGCCGTGATAAATCCGTGAAGATCTGGAGAATGGAAGAGGGATCGTTCGCCTGTCAATCGACTATCTCCCTGCAAAGCTCCGTTACTGCGATTTCTTTCCTCCCAGTTGTTCAGGATGGCTCGCTCCTCCTCGCTGTGGGTGAGGATAGTGGTGAGCTATCGGTGTACCAGGTTGTGGTTGGCAGCCTTGAAGCCAAGCACCTAGTAACGATAGACAAGACTGTGTCTCCGTCGAAGACAATTACCCAGCTCTCCTGGCGGCCTACTACTCGGACAGATATGTCCAGATTCGAGCTTGCGGTTGCAAGTGAAGACACTTCGACACGGATATATGCCATCTCGAACGTGTTTGCATGAAAGAATTGAAAGTTATGTACATAGAAAAGCAAGCCAACAAAAGTCAATGGTTGAACGTCTTATGAATGTTGAATGTATCCATACATTTATCCAAATCTAAACATCAATGCCCCAAACCCCGATTATGCCATGTGAAGGTTGAACTAGTCCACTGTTGAAATCACTTAGAACACAGAAAGAGCAATGGGTCGAATTAATTCTTCTTTTCGAACCCATAGCCTCCCTTCCCCTCTAGGGACGCATATGTCTTGCTATCACTCGAATGGCCATTTCTGGGCCCTCTAGTCTTCAAATCCTCCTTGAGCCACTTGAGAACGAGCTCACCGAGTTGACTGTTCTCAGCAGTCTCAGGAACTTCCTTCTGGAACTGCTCAATGGGTCCCACTTGCTTAACAGTACCAAGATGCATATGCACTAAGTGCGTCGGCCACTGCGAGAGATTATCCAAGATATGAGTCGCATAAACGATCGTGCACGGCCTCGTCTCCGTCTCCCGCTTGAGGTACGAGAGAAAGTCACTCCTGGACAACAAGTCCAGATCAACCGTGATCTCATCGAGAAGAAGCACACTCCAGGGGACCAGCAGACCCATCGCCAACTGCACACGACGGCGCTCTCCGTCTGAGACAGCATGCATGCGCCAGCGAAGATCAATGTCAAGGATCTCGACTAATTCATCTCGCCGCTCGGGGTAGACGTTGCCCCCGATGGAGGCGAGGAGCGTGGGGACGTCCATGTCAGTGCGGACGATTTGGTTGAGGACCCATTCCACACCGAGGTAGGTGACTCCCTCCAGGCCGTCTTTGAAGGGGTCAATGCCGGCTACGGCTATTGTGTTGTTTGGTGCTAGGCGTTTGCCTGCTAAGAGACGGAGGAGGGTTGTTTTCCCCGCGCCATTTGCTGTGTATATGTTAACATTCGGCTCATGCCATGTTGAAGAATAGAGAGGACTAATGGTTCTTACCGCCAATGAGCAGAGTTCGGCTTCCGGGAGGAAGATCGAGGTTTAAATTATTCAAGCCGGAAGATCCATCCTGGAATTTATATGAGAGGTTCTGCACGGTAATGGAGGGTTCCTTCTGATTTGGGTTGTCAGGTGCCATTTCCGTCCTGCGAAATTGATTTTCCAATGGGAGAAGAGCAAAGATTGAAAGAAAAGCGTGTTTTCAGAGGGACAATGGCTCTTTTCTAGTTTAGTCTTGATTGAATCATAATGGATCTCGGTGGTGTTGACCGGCGGATGAGGTAATAATCCTGGCGATTGATAAGATTGCGGAGATTTCTTAGATTTTTTTTTTTTCTGACTCCTCATGAGCAGTTGTACAAAACAGAGTCCAGTGACCAGCAAATAGGAAGCTCTAGCAGATGGATACTGTGAGATCATGATGCTGAGCTTTGGTATTCTTGCTTCTCCATGCTCAGTTTTCTTCGATCTATCTTCTATCGCCAACGCCCCTCAATCATGGAACCCCTCATAGCTGTCGTCGGTGCCACGGGCACTGGCAAATCCAAGGTGAGCAAGCCAAAAGGGCCTTGGATAAGGTTAATTCTAACGGCTACAGATAGCTTGCAGTTGACTTAGCATCCCGCTTCAACGGTGAAATCATCAACGGCGATGCAATGCAAATGTACCGCGGTCTCCCCATCATCACGAACCAGATACCCGTCGAAGAAAGGAACGGCATCCCGCACCATCTACTGAGTTGTGTTGACCTGGAAGAGGAATCCTGGCGTATTGGGATATTCAAACGGGAGACACTCCGGTTGATCAAGGATATCCATTCGCGGGGGAAACTTCCGGTTCTTGTTGGAGGGACGCATTACTATACCCAGGCGGTGCTTTTCAAGGACCAAACTGTCGGCGAGAATGCGGAAATTGGCGCAGACCAAGAAGAACAGACAGCAGAGGAATCCTCAGCGAAATGGCCAATCCTCGATGGACCGACAGAGGTGGTTCTGCAGAAACTACGAGAGGTAGACCCGGCAATGGCCGATCGATGGCATCCGAACGAAACCCGCAAGATCCGACGTTCCTTGGAAATCTATTTTCAGACGGGTAGACCAGCTTCGGAAATATACGCAGAGCAGAAACGCACCAAGGAAATGGCAGCGACAGCAACCGCTTCCGGATCGGAACAGCTGCGCTTTCCGACAATGATATTCTGGGTTCATGCGGAGAGGGAGGCGTTAAATACTCGACTTGAGAAGCGCGTGGACGCCATGGTTGAGCAGGGGCTGATGTCCGAAGCCCAAAAAATGTTCGATTACATTCAAGAGAAACAAGCGCAGGGAATCACTGTCGACCAGGAAAGGGGCGTCTGGATTTCAATTGGCTTTAAGGAGTTGGCGCCGCATTTCCAGGCTGTGCAGCAAGGATCGTCTAGCGAAGAGGAACTGGAAGCCCTGAAGCAGTCGTCTATTGAGGCTATCAAGACCGCCACGCGTCAGTACTCAACTTCACAGGTTAAATGGGTCCGGAACAAGCTATGGAACACCCTCTCGGAAGCCGGAATGACCCATCGCCTATTCCTTCTTGACACCAGCAACGTTGAAGAATGGGAGCAAAACATCAAAAAGCCATCTGAGAGACTTGTTCAGTCTTTGCTCAACGACGAATCGACCCCTGATCCGAAGTCGCTTTCGGAGCTTGCAAGAATAACTCTTAGCGCCAAAGAGGCAAAGGCAGCGAAGCAAAAGAACGGCTCATTGAGGACCGTTACCTGTGATGTCTGCAACAAGACTATGACTACCGAACAGTGGGATGTTCATATGAATGGATTCGCTCATAGACGAGCGCTCAAACATGCTGCGAAGAAAGCTGAGCATGTTGAGTATTTGCGGAAGAAGGAATCTTTGGATGATACCCAAAAGCAGGGGGTTGGTAGCTAGTGCAATGCAGCGTTTCGAATTGATTATTCTTCTCATTTCTCTCTTGAGCAAGTAGATGTTCTTCACTTTGTTCGGCTCGTATATACATAATCAAGCAATGGACTGCGTCGCTTAAGCAAGTGCTTCGACCTTGAATGTAGCAAGATTTCAAATAGTCATGTGGACAACTACACATTATAGGCAATAGCCTGCTGCAAAATCCTTCGCGTCGCCCTAGCTTTCGAATGTTTGAGGACTATTCTCGATGAGTTCCCCGATACTGGCGCTCTAGCCGTCAGGGCTGACAGCAACTGAGCTGTTTTGGACCTCCCCGGTAAAACGAAGCAACTGCATTTCCGTAGATGGACAGTAATACTATTCGACTGGAACTTCAGGAGGCTCTTTTGTCTCAGTGTTCTCCGGTTTGGATCTCCAAGCCGTGAATCCCGGAGAAAGAATATCGCCATGTCCGCCCTCTTCGACTTTGAAGACTTCAATAACCGGCGACTTTTCAGCTTTGCGGATTCTCCATGTCCCATCTTGTGTGATTGTTGTCTTCAGCCCTAAATCCAGAAAGAGTGCCATTAGCTCAAACCATGAACAAATATCTGGAATCAGGGCCATACATTCGAGAAATGCAGCGGCAAAGTTGATACAGATATTTCCGTCCCAGGTACCTCTCCCGACCTTCTTAACTTTGCTCGGGATGGTGTAAGTATCTACCTCCTCCATACGGTGTACGATGCCTTGTTGGTCTCGGAATCCAACGACAATCTTGGGCACGCCGAGTAGGAATGACTGTGCCCAGAACTTCAGGAGCTTCCGCTCATATTTTACCATATCGCGGTCATTCCTAATCTCTGCTGACGTCTTCAATTCAACCCAGCGGACGTGGTCCTCTTTTCTGTCGGGTTTGCAGTCCCATACTGTTAGGTTTCTCATTAGCGGGAGTCCCAGATAGTTGGATAGATACTGTGAAATACCGGCGTCAACCTCCCCACCAATAATCATTTTCACGTTGCCTATCCCAGTACGGACGACAGAGCAGTATTGAGCGCTGTTATTGACTATTTCCTCATCCCGGTTCTCAATCTCATGGCGCGGAGTTGGATCCCAGGGTTGCCGGAGTACCGAGATGCTTTCAAATTTATAACCTGGAGTTGTCAGTGACTTCAAATATAAAATAGGCATGCAGAGAAGTACCCCAATACGCCATGAGATCCTGGGATGCCATTCCTGGTGGCATCCTCTGATTCTGTTGGACCTTCTTTTGCTCATTTTTGTAGGAATTGTTTTCCTCGATGAATCTGATGGTCATTAGCCCTGTTCAATTGTTGGGCCTGGGTTGGTGATAATACATGGTATCCTGTATTATGAATTTTAGCTAGGGAGAAAACAAGCTGGGGTTTGAGATCTCTCACCTGAAAGCGGGTTGCGTTCATCTCGAAGCTAGACCAGAATCAATATAAAGTTCACACACGATTTCTCATTATTACGCACCCGTTCAGATTGTCGAATGGAATAGTCAAGATCTATGTGCCGTTTAATCATGGGTTCTTGTAGGAATACAGCGGCCGCGCGAGATTACCTTGGTCATCATGCCTCTCCATGTGACAATATCTGCTTCACACTTCTTCCCCGTTTCTCCTTCCATGGCCACAATGGTTCTCAGCAGAGCATCAAGGTGCTCATCTGCGGAATCATCCAGTTTCTGAAAGGTATCAAAGCCACGATTCAAGTCCGCAGGGAGTTGTGGCGGATAGTAATAGCGCATTGATGACTCGTCAAGATGAAATTGACGCTCGTCATCGTATGAGAAACAAGCGACTTCCTGGACATATCTAGTTATATTGTCTGTTCTTCCTGTTTAAGGTCATACGCAACTTACCTTCGGACGTCGGATGGTGGCATTGGTGCCCACGAACCGGTTGACCGGCTGGATGTCAAATGTAGACCGATCCATAGCTTGTCCTGATGCGCTCGTTCCTGAGACGTAGTATCAAGCGTTGATATATTCCAAAAGCTGGTAGTATTCAGCCAACGCCAAATTGCAAGTAGAATCCACTGAACGCGTCTATGCTCAACCCAAGCATCCTATAAACGAGACAAATTCAGTATGCAATAGACCCAATCCAATTAATTGTCAATTGGAATCATCATGGCGATAGAGCGGAAGTAAGTGTTGCGCAGGGAGCTTTTTCTAGAAGGAAAGGAAAGGAAGCGCGTCGGTCCCCCACCGATAATGGCCAAAAGTGAAGGCCGAACCGCCGATTAACCACTACAACAACATCCACATCGCTTGCTTCTGACTGTCTCCGGCGCTCATTCTTTTTGGCCTGGAATTTATCTTGCTTTGGGATATTATCATCTTCTTCATTTTGCTTGGCTGTATATACCCATAAATACTTGTTATTTTTCGACATACAAACAAGATGACCTCACGCATCGAGAAGACGATTGCCCGCCAACGAGAAAAGTAACACCCCTCTCCTCTCTTCTGGATACTGCGCATTCATAATACCTGCCTCTATGTGATATTCTTGACTGAAGAAGTCGCTGACACTCTTCTGTCCATCATAGGATCGCCTCCGGCGCTTACTACGAAGCTCACCAGCAGCTGCGTGTCATCGCGGCACGATACATCAAACAAGGCAGCTATGATGCGGCGGCTGACTTGTTGGCCGGAGGTGCTACCGCTCTATTGAGAGCGGGTTCGCAGCAGGGCGCCGCTGCGAGTGGTGGTGATCTGGCGATTATGCTGGTGCTCGAGGTGTACACCAAGGCAGAGTGGGAGATTACTGGAGGGGATGGTGATGCGGAGGGACGGGCCCGGAAGAGTGAGTAGATTCTACCTGGTTTATGTTGATGGATTTTGCGTACGAATGCCTCACTTTAAGAATGGTTGCTAACGATGATTATCCTATGTACAGAGCGCCTGATCGAATTGCTCCGTGAAATCCCACCGGAGGAGCCTGCGAGGAAGAGGTATATCCAGGAAATGATCAGCTGGAGTGGAAAATTTGGCCCGTTGGAAAGAGGAGACCCAGAGCTGCACCACGCAGCCGGATCGGTGTACGCTGAAGGTACGCCATGCCCAAAGTCGCAATCTACACCGGAAGACCCCGTTCTAATTGAGGCCAACCTATAGATAACGAACCATACGATGCCGAGAAGCATCTCATCCTTGGGACACCGGAATCAGCTGAGACCCTTGCGAAGCTCGAATACGAGTGGTACACCAACGATAAACCGCACACGGCCGCAATTTATGCTTCGCGCGCTGTCTTCCCATACCTCATGACCGGGAACCTCCGCAATGCCAACAAGGCTTTCGCAGTCTTCACATCGCGACTCTCCTCGTCGAATCCCTCCCTTGGCGTCCAAGATGTCAGCAGCGCCAGCTCCGATATCCGGGTATTCCCCACGGTGCCTCTGTTGAACTTTATCAACATGCTGCTCCTTACAATTCAACGCGGAAACGCAGATCTCTTCCGGCAATTGACGGCTCACTATTCCTCGCAGATCCAAGAAGTTGGCATCTGGGACGATGCCTTAGGGCACTTTGGTGAGCGGTACTTCGGCATCAACATCCCTCGCCAGAGTAACCCGCTGTTTGATATGATGGGCAGCATGTTGTTTGGGGGAGGTCAACAAAGCGCCGGTGGTAGGGGAGGACCGCAAGCGGCGTCAAGGAGAGTCGAGGCGCCAAGGAACATGGAGCTTGATTGAACAAATGGGGGAAAGAAGTGACGGTCATCCAGCGTTTGAATAATGAGGATAGAAATTTTGCGTGACGGTGAATGGCATATTTCGAGCGTTAGACCCGCGGTTCGACCTCTGGTTCGTACATCCAATTGTCTTCCTCCAATGCTGCTACCTTGTTTCGAAGGCTCTGCTGGACTAGGTTGTATATTTCTAGTGGAATAAGCAAATATCGGCACGTAGGGAGCAAGGATGTGTAAACGTACCAACTGGGTCACTGCTCATCTGCCTATTCCGATTGCGGCACATCATCTCTATCAAATTGGCCTCAATCCCTAACCGGAGCCATGTCAGTCATACCGTCATAAGCTTTGGCGTAAAAAAGCAACGAGGTCGATCCATCCAGTAACATACTCTCTTTCTCACGTCCTCCAAGTTCAGTCTCCCCCGTTGAATTGACAGCAGAACTCGGCCTTCCACCATTGTGTCCCTCATCAAAGCCTTCAATCTCCTCCCCATCTTCGCCCACGATCACAGGGAGCACGGGTATATCGAGTCTATAGCTCCCATTCTTGTCCTTGACCACGATCTCGTCACTATCAGCAGGCCGAGTGTTATTTGACGACGATGGATTCGTTTCCGAAGAGCTGGGATGAGAAGAGGATTGTAGATTGAAGGTGTTGTTACTGGCGCCTTGCATAGGAGGGACGGATGGTACGGCGCGTTTGCTGAGGTTGCTGTTGAAGAGATTGCGGCGGACTGAGGTCGACCCCATGTTGTAGGTGTGTTTGTATCGGTTTAATGAGGTTACTGGTACGGATAGGGTCGAAGTAGATATTGATATCTTAGGTTGCAAAGGTAATGAGGACCACAAGTGAGCTCAGTCTGCTCGTGTAGCACTCAGTAAGCGAGGGAGGTATCGGTATGCCGTGTATGTCGAATGGGTAGAAGAACGAGTGTTTAACTGGAGATATTAGGGAGTAATCGAGATCTCAGTGGGCCTGTAAGCTATAGCAGGTAAAAAGATAAAAAAATGTTGTAGTTGTCCGTAACGACAGGTGCATTATGGGTGGTGGTAGGAAGTTGAAAGAGACGGTGTCGAAGACAGCATAAAGTACAAGTAATGACTGCCACGTTTGCTCAAATTCGGTGAACTACAGTTCTGTCAATTTATTCAACATTTTTTAGCAGAATCTAAAAGCTCTTTGGTGATTTCGTAGCCTTATCAAGCAGCATATCCCATCGCGGGGATCTTATTCGGTGTCTCTTCCGACGCGTCGGACTTTCGCGTCTTCCCGAGTAAATTACTTTTCGGTCTCGACAAAGCTTTCTGGTAGAGGAACAAAGACGTCTACGATATTCTCTCTTTATCAAATCCCCTCAAAATGGTGCAGGCAGAATCTTCGGCCAGTGCAGCTCGCAATGGTCTCCAGCCTAACACGGCCGGAGCTCCGCAAGACTATGAGCTCCCTTGGTGAGTTGACCTGATACACAGAAGACATTTAGAGAAGCCAGACTGACAAAAGATACACTATAGGGTCGAGAAATACCGTCCGATCTTCCTCGATGACATTGTCGGCAACACGGAGACCATCGAGCGCTTGAAGATTATCGCCAAAGATGGGAATATGCCGCACGTTATTATCTCGGGCATGCCTGGTATCGGAAAAACGACGTCGGTTCTGTGTCTGGCCAGACAATTACTGGGCGATTCGTATAAGGAGGCTGTGTTGGAATTGAATGCTAGTGACGAGAGAGGTGAGATGGCCATTCGACAAGGTCTTTTCCGGGGGATAATGTCCTCTGACGGGTTTCTTTAGGTATCGACGTCGTGCGAAATCGAATCAAAGGATTTGCGCAAAAGAAAGTTACGCTCGCGCCTGGTCGTCATAAGCTTGTTATCCTTGATGAAGCAGACAGGTATGTTCGAAAGAACTTTGTTCGCCCTTCGCCGGTAAGCTGATCGCTTGTCTTATTAGTATGACCTCGGGTGCGCAGCAAGCGTTACGGCGAACGATGGAAATCTACTCTACTACGACTCGATTTGCCTTTGCCTGTAACCAGTCGAATAAGATCATCGAACCCCTCCAGTCTCGATGCGCAATCCTCCGCTATTCTCGGTTGACCGACGCCCAAGTGGTGAAACGATTGAAACAAGTGTGCGAGGCTGAGAAGGTCGAGCATTCGGAAGATGGACTGGCTGCGCTGGTATTCAGTGCAGAAGGTGATATGCGTCAAGCGATCAACAACCTGCAAAGTACCTGGTCTGGATTTGGCTTCGTGAGCGGCGACAATGTCTTCCGGGTGGTCGATAGCCCACATCCGATCAAGGTCCAGGCTATGATCAAGGCCTGCTGGGAAGGTAAGGTGGACGTGGCTTTGGAGACGTTGAATGAGTTATGGTATGTCATCTTTCTTCCTTATGATGCGAAGTGCATGGAGACTCACCAGATTCCAGGACTCTTGGGTATTCGTCCCATGATATTATCAGTACTATGTTCCGAGTCACTAAAACTATCCCGACGCTGTCTGAACATTCGAAGCTGGAGTTCATCAAGGAGATTGGATTCACGCATATGCGCATCTTGGACGGCGTACAGTCACTCCTGCAATTAAGTGGTTGTGTCGCCAAACTTTGCAAGATCAACATGAAGCCGGAATTATTCAAGCCTTCTCAGACTTGAGTTGCATCACTTGATAGAGTATTTGCATGGTGTTAGGGCGTCTTGCGAGCGGGTTTATCTACATTAATTCACGGCATCTTGTATGTTAAAAAATATCATGATTATAGGGATACAATTCATATCTTTGCCTTGTATTCTTTTCGCGTCGAACATCTTATCGTAACTATACACAAGATATCCTGTATTATGTTATCTTGTGATGCGCTGTGCAGAATTACGTGGGGAAATTCGGGGTAAACTCCAGATGGAGATGAAGCGGAAACTGCGGAGAATCACGACACCATGACAAGGGTATACTAGTTTCTCTTTCATATCAACAAAAGAAACAGCAGAGAATTCAACGAGAAGTTGATAACTGGGAATTGCTCTTTCCTCGGCTTCTTGTCCGTTCCAAACGGAAGGTCACATTTCTGGATATGATCTAATCAATTCAGTTGAGGGGCTCTCCGCGGGCCAACCTTTTCCCTCCCGACTCCACGACTTCCTTTTCGAACTACTTGCGACGACGACCAACTACTACTACTAGATGGTTGAACAGCAGCGGTCCTGTCAGCCATTGTCTTCCACAGAATCACTGACCATGCCATCATGAACCCGGCTGCTTCTCCTTCCTCTCCTTCTCCTTCTAATGCGGACAATGACGCTACATCCGTGCCACCGACCGGTGCCATCCGCACCCAGTCGCGTTCTTCTAAGAAAGCTCCGGGAACTATCGCTAAAAGAGCCTGCGATCAGTGCAAATTCAGGAAAATAAAGGTGATTTGACCTTTTCCATATTCGGGGGAAATGATAGGTGCTAACATCTCTACAGTGCAGTCTGTCGCAACCATGTCGCGCATGTGTTTCAATGGGCTTTGAATGCACCTTTTTCCAGCCCCAGAAGAAGCGAGGTCCGACTGGACAGTGAGTGAAATAAGTTCTTACTACTAGGTGTCATCTGTCTAATATCTGCGATGAAGCCGTGTATCGCAAATTCGGCAGCAACAGATCCCTCAACTTGCACAAAAGAGCCCTCATGATGCTCAACCCCAGGCTCAAAGCAGCCAGAGGTCCGGTCCAGATGTTTTTCAGTATCAGACAGGGCCACCCCCTGCTCCTTCGGTTTCTGGGGAGTCGGTAAAGACGGAGGCTATGCCCATGGCTGATGCGCCTCAATGGCCCGTCCCGGGTGAAGTTCCCGCGCCTATGAATGGAAGCGGACTGGCTCCAGCTCCCGCAACAACGTCTGTTGGCCCTGGCTGGGCCACTGGTACACCGGGGGCTCCCATTGACCCTCGTAGCCAAAATGGCGTGGGCTGGGTTGAGCGCAACGATGTGGAGTACTGGCTTCCAGATAACCTACATGCTCAGGTCCCGGTTTTTGATTTTCCAGGAACTAATGTCTATTTGAGACCTTCCCTTCCATCCATTGTCCAAGGTGTATCCGACACTCCTGTCATGGAACACCACCATCCAGCTGAACCTTCACCTTCAAGTAGTGCCCCAATATCGAACATACTTTCTCAGTCGCCAGGATACGATCGGCCAAGGTCCGTATGGCCATCTTCGATCATTGAGACGAATATGATTCCTTGGATCGACGTTTATTTTGATCGCTTACATCCAACTTTACCTGTGTTAAATCGTTCGTCTATGTTTATCCGCATGTTATCGCAGGAGCACCGGCAAAACCCTCAATTCGGTGCCATGTTGTTGTCATTGTGCGCCTTTTCCCTCACTCAGCCCATTGAGATTGACGAGCGGCCTACCTCGTCGTCGCGTGCCAACCAGGCAAGGTCCATGATGCATGAAGCCACGAAAATGCGCAGTTGCTCGGATTTCGGTGAAAACCCGACGATTGAGGCCGTCCTAACCAGCTTCTTCCTCTTTGGCTGCTTGTTTGGCAGTAATCAGCATAATGCCGCGTGGCTTCGTTTACGAGAAGCATTGGATCTCGCGGCAACTCTCGGGTTAAACGATCCTAATTCCTATCTTGATCTATCTAGTGAAGAGAAGGGACAACGGTTACGAACCTATTTAGTGTTGTCCATTACAGAAAGGTGTGTTTCTCCGACTATATCTAAGATTTACTTTAGCTGACATTGTTGGGGAAACAAGAGCTTATGCACTTCAACGTCGACATCCTATCACATTTCGGGGGAAACCAGGGTTCAGCATGCGCTCTGTTCATGAATTTATCCACGGTGCCTCCCACCGCGTTGTTTCCGGGATCATTGTCCACAACGAGCATGACGCCGAAGGCATGATGGGATTGGCTCGACTAATGGAGTTGTTTGACGCAATTGATGAGGATGTTGTAGATTGTTGGAATAGGAGATGCAACATCGATAATAATGGCTACTGTGAGAGGCTTACAGCAGCCAAGGCTTTGATCATTCATCAGAATCTCGCCCGAGTGAGCTTCTCGGAACGGTATAAAGGGTACGACTGGTTTGAACGAACCAAGGCGGCTCCTAATGAAGCCCAAGCAGCACATCAAGCTGTAGGTTTGAAAGAAACACAATGTGCCGATATCTTCATAACACAGAAATGGCTGCAAAACCGACTCTGGGTATTATGTCTCACCCATGGTCTTCTGGGCCCTGTTTCGGATCGCCCTGAACTTACCTTCAACTACGCCATATTTATTGCGAATGAGGCGCTTCAGATATGCAAATCATTACGCATCAGTTCCATGGAGGCACATGGGATAGGTCTGGTAAGTTACGGTTTTCAGAGTCATTTAGTCCAGTTGCTTACTGTACCAGGTCGAAAAACTTTTCGACATTGCTACCAGTGCAATAAACATCTTTTCCACGGTCGATCCGTCACTGGGGGCCAACTTCCCGCTGACCTTGTCGAATGGAAGCCTTGCACAAGCACCGTCAACAACAGCGACAACAGCGACGGTTAACCCCGTATCACTTTCTCAAGGGTTAGCAGCGGATTACTTGCTACTGCTGAGTAGCCTTCGTGGTGGAAGCCACCCATTCCTGGAGAGATTCAAAGAATATCTGGGCACGTCGTCCACTTCTACTATTAGCACAGGCTAGTCGGACTGTAATATATATAGTGTATTTATTTCAACGAGACTTTACATGTTACATTAAGACAACGAACATAAGCATGTTCATGTAAATATATAGAGCCACCCAATATACTGTATACATTTCACTGCATCTAGTATAACTATGCAGATCTCGGCTGCGCTTCTTGCCGGTCACAGTCCCGAAGGTCAATTCTTTCCAGAACAGGAAAAATCTCTAACAAGTTTCTAATACGAGTATGAGTACGTGTATCAAACTTCTCTCAATTCGGCATGCCGGAGAAGAACAGCCCTTATCTTGTGGCACAGAGTTTCCCCGACAATCTTCCGCGATTCATCCATAGAGGGGGGTTTACGTTGCTTCCGAACAACCTCCGAGCCAGAACAAGAAAGAGGCAGTGGCTAAGCTCCGGATAGATAACCACAGGGCTACTGATCTGACGCTCCTCGGAGATAAACCCAATTGCGAATCACTGCAGATATGCCTGGCATCCGGTGTTTCCCCGAAAATCTCAAGAATAGCGACTATGCCGTGTAATTCTTTTTAATAATGGCTGGATTCGCTCTCTTGCTGATTTCTGCAGTTTACTGCATTCACAATTTTTTTTGCGGTCGATTTTTCCTTACACTAGGACAAGTTCATTGACCGGAACCGAATCAATATGGCTGTCCTCGCAAGAGCGCAAAGTGCGGATAAACCGGGTATCCACGAGACGCATACACAACCACATCGACATGACATGACGGCTTACCAGGACAAATCCAGGCATCAAAGAACAACCAAGCCCGCCTGGCGACCAACATTCCACCTAACAGCGCCCCATGGCTGGCTAAACGACCCCTGCGGCCTAGGGTACGATCCCACAACCGGACTCTACCATTTGTCCTTCCAATGGAACCCGAAAGAAAACGACTGGGGTAACATCTCCTGGGGACATTCTGTCTCCCGGGATCTTGTCGAATGGGAGACGTCACCGGTTCCGTGTTTAAAGCCGTCTACTCAATATGACCGCTGCGGTGTTTTTACGGGGTGTTTGCGTTCTACCGATATCGATGGGAATCCTGGTGCCCTTACACACTTGTACACATCTGTGGGACATCTGCCTATCCATTACAGTTTGCCGTATACCACCGGTTGCGAGACGCTGAGTATGGCAGTCTCGCGAGATGGCGGGAAAACATGGAAACGCCCAGATTGCAACCCGATATTACCAGGTCCACCGGAAAAGGTGAACGTGACTGGTTGGAGAGATCCGTATATCAGTTCGTGGCCGACAATGTGCAGCGGGTCAGACAGTGACCTTTACGGATTCATCTCCGGTGGCATCGCTGCAAAGACCCCGACTGTGTTCGTGTACTCTGTTAACCCCAAGGATTTGCGTGAATGGAAGTACATTGGACCGTTGGTTGATGTTGGGTTGAACTTTCAGCCGTCGAGGTGGTCTGGTGATTTTGGTGTTAACTGGGAGGTTGCGACGCTGGCGACGTTATCCGATGATGAAGGAACTTCGAGAGATTTCGTTGTAGTGGGGACAGAGGGTTGCAAGGAGACTGGGCACCAGCCAAAGCGAGCGCCACGAGGCCAGCTTTGGATGTCTGTTAACCCTCGCCCTGAGGGAAGAAGCACATCAGGCGCCCTCACAACCTATGGATTCGCCGGAATCTTCGACCACGGCTGTTTCTACGCCGCCAATGCCTTTTTTGATCCGGTTACACGCAGACAGATCGTTTACGGTTGGATCATGGAGGAAGATTTGCCAGATGCCCTCCGTCATCCGCAGGGCTGGAGCGGACTTATTTCCCTCCCGAGAGTTATGAGTTTGATGACATTACGGCATGTGAAGAGGGCGCGTCGATCTGAGTTGAAATCGATTACTTCGATTGAAACGGAGGGGGATGCAAGAACTGGGACGTGTACTATTCGGACATTGGGTGTACAGCCTGATCCGAGACTCGAGAAGCTTCGTGCAAATGCGAGCAGGAGGCAAACTGATGGTTCAGGATTGAAGCCGGAAAAATTCACATTACCCTTGACGACGTCCAAATGGGAACTGGATGCTGAGTTCGCCGTTGGAAATCAATGTACGAGCGTTGGTGTAGAGATTGACCATGGTGGTATGTCTTCCCACATCTTCCCTCTTTTATCATTCATTAACTAACTTATTTCAGATTCAAATTACACAACCCTTACCTGGACCCCATCAACCGAAACCTTCCAAATCAACCGCCCCAACCCTATGCCCGACTCCAATATCAACAACTTCCCCGAAAAAGCTCCTCACACCCTCTTCACCACTTCAGACCCAGAAACCGGCACGGAAAGCGAAGAACCACTGCGCATACACGCGTACTTCGACATGAGCGTCCTAGAGATATTCGTGAATGACCGGACGGTCATCTCGACTAGAGTTTATCCGTTACACGAGCAATGCGCTGGTGTACGATTCTTCGGAGATGCAAACACCACACTATTACGCGCAGATGTATGGGATGGATTGGGTGTTATGCATTAAGTCAAGTATCATGAGTTATGAGATTAAGATTAATGATTCTATACACTGTTATGTATGCCATGCCATACCCCCACCCTTTCCCGACATCAATCGTAGAAACCGCATCTATAAAGACAATATTAGGGACAAAAAAGTTAAGCCCAGTTTTCATTTGGTTACCCCCGGTAACCCTCGATTATACATATGCATGGGTATCAGTATCAATTCATCATGCGTGGCATTCACCAAAGAAAACGAAAAACAGAAGACACAAAGGAAAACTATGACCTCCCCTTCCAGAACTTCCAGTTCAATTTCCACCCGGAAGAAAACGGTAATCTTCCATCCCGCTGGTAGATACGCCAGTAATACACCGGGACACCGACAATGATAAACACCACCACAATCAACGTCTGCAATGGCTCTGAGATGACTGCCCGGCTGAGCAAGAAAAGACTAACGCAGCAGAAGATGATCGGTGTCGAGATCCATGTCTTATACGGGCGTTCCAGATACGGTTCGCGAATGCGCAGGACGATCAGGCCCAGAACCGTGAGGAAGTAGAATGTGTACCCCGCGACGCCGTAGAAGGTTACTAGGGTCTTGAACTCGCCGAGGATGATGTATATAACGATTAGGGCGCCGTTGAGGGCCATTGCGTAAATCGGGGTACGGCCGATGGTGGAAGCGTCACCAAAGAAGCGACACAGACGGCGGTGCAAGCGGTTATCGAGGGGTGGTGAAGAAGTAGCTGAGGAGTAGCCGCAGGCGCCTAGTTTGCCAAAGAGGGCTGGGAGGTAGCCTTCTTTCCCGGCGATGTAGACTAAACGACCGCTTGTGAAGGTTGTTGCGTTGAGGGCGCCGATGCAGCTTATGGAGACCACTAGGGCTAGGACAATGGCTCCTGCTGTTCCGAAGACTTGCTCGCCGAACTCGACGGCGATGGCGTTGCTTGCTTCGATGGTCGAGTGTGGTAGGACTAGGAAGTAGGAGACGTTTGCCATTAAATAGCAGAGGATTACCAATGGCATGGCGGTATGGATCACGCGGGGAATATCGCGGTTGGGGCGTTTGAATTCGCCTGTCACATAGTTTGTCTTTACATGTCAGTCAGCATGTAGATCTGATGATTATCGTCTCGGATCAAACTCACGTTATCCCAACCATCAAACGCCCAAAGACCAGCATACAATGCGACAGCCCAGCCAGAGATATCAGTGTTGGTGCCCTGGAACCAGCCAGATTTCCACTCATTACTCGCACTCCCACTAGACGAAACGCCCGTGATAGCGACCACAATCCCAGTAACAGTAATCCCAACCAAGGCGATAAACTTGAAGATCATGAAAATGTCACCGACTCGGGTGGCCACTTTCGTAGAGATGCAGTTCACTAGAATCACGACAAAGACACCACCGAAGGCGACACCTTTACCGATCCAGGGATTAACCTGCTCGACATTCGCACCGACAACGGCCCGCACGACATATTCCCCAAAGACAATGGCGATAATAGCTGCGCTTCCTGGCTTGAGCACCAAAACCGCGCACCACGTGAAGAGGAAACCGGCCAATTCTCCAAAGATCTTGGACAGATAGACCTGCGACCCGCCATTAAGAGGAATTGCGCCTCCCAGCTCAGCGTAACTAGCCGCACCGGTCCACGCCAATATACCTGCCACAACCCACGCAATGAGCGACGCACCCGGAGACCCAGCATTCGCATTAACCTGGCTAGGAGACGAGAAGATTCCCGATCCAATGATCACACCAACCACCAACGACAGCCCATTCAAATACGTAAGCGTTTTATGCCTTTCCAATGACCCATCTGCTGCCCCTTCTCGATCTAACGTCGACGGCGCGCCTATCGGGGCATACCCCCCAGCCGCCGTGGAGGAGAGCGGAAACAGCGTCCTCCCGAAATCGAAGGCCGAGGATATAGAATACGACCGTCCACCCGACCTTCCATACCCGGATTCCGGATCGCCATGTGAGAAATCGCCTAGCGGATCTTGTTCTTCGAGCGAGAGCTTGCGCGAGGATGATATACCGGAGGGAGAGGAGGAGCGGGAAGATCTGGTGGTGGTATCGGGGGATGAGGACGCAAGAGAGGCGAGTTCTAGGGAATCCCGGGGCGCATTGGTGGAATTAGATCTGCCTGGTCGAGACGAGGCCATTATGGGTACGTGTAGGACAAATCAACAGGTTTCACGTAGTTCAAGTCAATCGAAGGAGAGAGAGGACGAAAGGGCGGGCAATTCAGAGTCTCGAGACCGCCATTGACGGAGACAAGACAAAGGAGAGAGGCGAGAGAAGACAAGAAGGTGAACGCGGATGTGTCCAACGTAGAATCTGCTGTGTCGCAATAAACTGGGGGTCTTCTATTTCGGTCCAAAAGTGGTCTTTTTATTGCAGTTTCTATTCTGGTGTTTTGAAGCCTTAGCGATGATCGCCCGCCCAGGGGCTGTGTCCCAATCGGGTTAGCGTCATCACTAAACGGGAAGCGTCAATTATCGGAGAAGAATTACAGATGAAGATTCAATAATTTATAGATCAACCGCCGCGTCTTCTCTATGAAGCCCCGAATTCTCGGCCAGGGTTTGCATGCACTCCGTCCGCCCTTCTCGACCAGCGGGAAGCACGTCTCCCGGTCTTGGAATCGCCATGCTTTATCCTCATCCTCTTCCGCATCCTCCTCCGAACCAGCCCCTCCGAAACAACGACTCTTGGTGAAACTGGCCGTTGTGAGTGTCGCAGCCGCCGGAATTGGAGCGTGTATTCGAAAGTCGCAGCAAGATGGATCCTCGACATTGAATCCTCTCACCTTCACCAAGTACACCTTGATCGCGAAAGAACCCGTATCCTCGACAGGGAGTATCTTCACCCTCAAACCACCGAAACCGGATCTAAACTCGACTGTCTACGAAGCAGCATGGCAGAATGGAGTGTGGAGTGTGATGTTCAAGCAGCCGCAGCTGCAGATCGGTAGAGATTATACCCCTCTACCGGTCACGTCGACGACGGACAACGAGGACGAGGATGTGCTACGGTTCTTTATCCGGAAAGATGCCTTTGGCGAGATGTCGCGGTACCTACATGGCTTGGGTATAGGCTCTCTGGTTGAGATGCGGGGACCTAAGATTGAATACAAGATCCCAAGGCAGACCCAGGAGATCTTGTTCATTGCTGGTGGGACAGGCATTGCGCCGGCTCTACAGGCTGGTTATACGCTTCTGCACCGGACGGACGAGACGCGTAAACCAAGAATACATATACTATGGGCAAACCGGAGACGAGAGGACTGTGCGGGCGGTGCAAACGATACCTGCGCGAAGCCTCAAGGGGCTCGACGATTCTGGTTCTTTGGCCCTAGGACATCACCGGAAAGTCCTGCACCAGTCACGGGAGATGCGGATAGAGATGCGACAGCTCAGTCGCTAGTGGTTCGAGAACTAGAAGCCCTCAAGTCGCAATACCCAGGACAAGTGACTGTGGACTATTTTGTCGACGAGGAGACGACGTTCATCAAAAAGCAGGACATCTTGGACTTCACTAATTCTGCGCGCTCCAGTGGCTCTCGCTTCCCTAAAAATAAGATGATCCTCGTCTCTGGACCTGAAGGTTTCATTAACTATATGGCAGGACCGAAACTCTGGGCGCAAGGAACGGAAGTCCAGGGCCCTCTTCGAGGAATTATTAGTGAACTCGATCTAAAAGGCTGGGCCACATGGAAGCTGTGATGGCTTATTAGGCCGTTCTAATATGTACCATAACAAACTCCTTTTTCCCATGCACTGTATGAAACTTATGGGCGTTATGTTGAATGAACAAAACCTCTCACCCTTGGATGTTGGTTATTCCGACATCTTACCTGCGAATTCTCGCGCAGGGTATCATTCTTGGTCCCATTTTAACTATGCACCTACTGTCCGGTGGCATAGTCCTCGAGATACTTGGCCAGTTTCTCAACGTTCTCCACGGGAACCGCATTGTAGTTGCTGGCCCGCATACCACCGACACTGCGGTGGCCCTTCAAACCCTGGAGCATGCGCTTGTCAGCTCCAGCCAGGAACGCCTTCTCCTTCTCAGCGTCACCGCCGTGCACACGGAAGCAGATGTTCATTCTGCTGCGAATGCTCTTGTCAGGGACAACGCGGTACACCTGCGGGTACTTGTCGAGCACGCCGTAGATAATATCAGCCTTGTGGTTGGAAACCTCTTCCTGACCGGAAACCTTCTTTGCGCCGTATGCGTTGACGAGGTCGGACATGACCTGGCCGGCGACCCAGAGGTTGAATATGGGGAGCGTGTTGTAGAGGGAGTTGTTCTTCGCGATGGTGGCGTAATCGAACACGACGGAGCCTGGAAGACCTCCAATGTTTAGACGGTGGAGAAGGGTTGCTGGGGGTGTGGCGGTCTGCGGGGGAAGGAGGGATTTCTTGATGATGGCGATGGTGATACCGGTAACACCGATGTTCTTTTGAGCGCCGCCCTATAGTCCTGATATCAGTACCTCTCAGAGGATATCTTATTTGGGGGCAGACTTACAAAGATGACCGAGTACTTGCTGACATCGACCTTTCTGCTGATGAAGTTGGAGCTCATGTCTGCAACGACAATTCGCTCATCCTCATCATCACCACCCTGCGATTCCAGCGACTTGGGGAAGTCCTGGAACTCTACACCATCGACAGTCTCATTGTCGCAGAAGTAGACAAATGCAGAACCCTTACCACCCTCGCGCTTGGTCGGGGTCAGAGACCACGACTCCTCCGCGGGGATAGTACCGAACTTGCCATCATTGGCCTTGCGCGCGTCAAGAGCAACATTGACATACTTCGATCCAACCAACCGCGCAGCCTCCTGCGACGCCTTCAACGACCAGCTTCCAGTAACAAGGTAGTCAAGCTTCAATTCCTCCTCAACCTCCTTCTGGACTCTCTGGAAGACCAGCTCCTCAACCCGCGCCTTATCCTCATTCGGGTTCGCCGCCAAAACATCAGCCTCAGCCCTGCGCCGTCTGCGCTCAATCCACACGGAGACAAGGTTCTGCACCACTGCGCTGAACTCGCCGCTGCCACCGGCCTGCATGAATAGGATCTCATAGTTATCGGGAATGCTCAGGAGAGTGCTCAGGTTCGCCTTTGTGTCCTCGAGGATCTTGTTCGCGGTGGGGGAACGATGCGAGATCTCTCCGAGACCCAGGCCGGAGTCGTTGAAGTTGACGAAGGCCTTTGCGCCGGCCTCGACGACGGAGGTTGGGAGCGGTGCAGGACCGGCGCCGAAGTAGGCGACTTCTTCTCTGGTGGGCATGGTGATTGAAGGTTTGGTGGGAAGAAATAGGTTGGAAGGAGAGAAAGAAAGAGGGAAGGGGAGAAAAAGTGAGAGAAGTTATACAGACTTGGCGGGGCTGCCGGTGTGATTCATACAATCATGCAATTAAAGGCACAGCGCAATATTAAAAAAGACTCTAGAGTGTTATTTATAAATAGGTCTAATTGACATGGCCTCAATGCTTTTTTTCTCTTTTTTCAGCTTTTCATTTCCCGTCGAGTACCTTGAGTCATACCCCGCCATGTCACGGTATGCTGTAGAAGCTTTATACTGACTAGAGAGACTGGGTTGAGGTGAAATATGTACATTCAATTGCTCAAGACCAATCAATTGAATCATTCTACTCTGTACATTATCATGAACTGTAGAATATCCAATCTCTCTCTCTTCTGTACCCCTCATAGTTCACGCGACACACACGTGATCCTCCGATAGCGGAGTCTCGGCATGTTTGCGCAGTTTGCCACAAATTCTCCTAATGACTAATCGGTTGTAATGGAAAATGCCGGGGTTTTTATTTGCCAGTCTTTTTTGCTCATCCACGGTCCCGGAAGAATTGAAGTCGAGGTCGAGTTCAACGCCGGCAGCATGACTGTAAGTGCCCAGTACGGTCTCTCTTCAATTGACCCTCACTAACAATTTCATGATGCAGTCACGATTGATGGCCTCCGGCGGCTCGGGTAGAGCGATCTTGCGCTGCCCGGTGCCGAGTAACTTCCAACGCCGTGCCTTTGCCTCGTCGAGATTCTACTTCCAAGAGGTCTTCGAGTCCCAGATGAACGATCCCGCCTCCGCGGCCGTTTACTCGTCCCTCCAGACGTCAAGGGCCGTGCCCCAAACTCTTACTGAGAAGATTGTCCAGCAGTACTCTGTGGGGTTGGCCAAGGACAAGTTCGTCAAGTCCGGCGACTATGTGACCATCTCGCCGCACCGCTGCATGACCCACGACAACTCGTGGCCCGTTGCGCTCAAGTTCATGTCTATCGGAGCCTCCGAGTTGCACGACCCGAACCAGATTGTCATGACCCTCGACCACGATGTGCAGAACAAGTCGGACAAGAACCTTCAAAAGTATCGCCAAATTGAGGAGTTCGCCAAGCAGCGTGGTGTCGAGTTCTATCCTGCCGGACGTGGTATCGGACACCAGGTGATGGTTGAAGAGGGCTTTGCGTTTCCCGGTACGCTTGTGGTGGCCTCGGACAGTCACAGCAACATGTACGGTGGTGTTGGCTGCTTGGGTACCCCGATTGTCAGAACCGACGGTGCCAGTATCTGGGCCACCGGTAAGACGTGGTGGCAGATTCCCCCGGTTGCTAGAGTCAACCTGACGGGTGTTCTGCCCCCGGGTGTGACGGGTAAGGATATCATCGTTGCACTCTGCGGTCTGTTCGACAAGGACGACGTCTTGAACCACGCTATTGAATTCACGGGCTCGGAAGAGACCATGAACAGCTTGACTGTGGATTCCCGGTTGACCATCGCCAACATGACCACTGAGTGGGGTGCTCTGTCTGGTCTTTTCCCGATTGATAATGTCCTGAAGGGTTGGTTGAAGGGCAAGGCCACTACGGCCGCCATGGGTCTTTCTGACGGACCTTACAAGACATTGGCTGCTCAGCATTTCACCCACCCCATCCTCGATCAACTGTTCTCCAATCCCATGACGGCGGACAAGGGCGCGAAATATGCCAAGGAGCTCTTCCTTGACCTTTCTACCCTCACTCCTTACGTCTCTGGTCCCAACTCTGTCAAGGTTGCCACCGCTCTTGGTGAATTGGAGGCACAGAATATCCCAGTCAACAAGGCTTACCTTGTCTCATGCACCAACTCGAGAGCCTCCGATATCGCCGCCGCCGCCAAGGTGTTCAGAGAGGCCGCGGACAAGAATGATGGACAGGTCCCCAAGGTTGCGGAGGGCGTGAAGTTCTACATCGCCGCCGCATCGATTCCGGAGCAGCTGGCTGCCGAAGAAACCGGTGACTGGCAAATCTTGCTGGAGGCTGGCGCTACGACTCTCCCAGCTGGCTGCGGACCCTGCATCGGTCTTGGTACTGGATTGCTTGAACCCGGTGAGGTTGGTATCAGTGCGTCCAACCGTAACTTCAAGGGACGTATGGGCAGCACCGACGCCAAGGCTTACCTCGGTAGCCCTGAAATTGTTGCCGCCAGTGCCTTGAGTGGAAAGCTCAGCGGACCCGGCTGGTACAAGACCCCCGAGGGATGGACTGGCGTTGTCCGTGGTGAGGGTGATGGTATCCGTGAGGAAGAGCGGATGCTTACCGCTGAGGAAGCCCTCGAAAAGGTGATCGGTCAGATTGACGACCTTGTTGCCGACGGAGAGAAGCAGTTCACTCCTGAAGCGGATGCTGAGACTGAGGCCGCTGATGACGCTCTCACGGAAGTGTACCCTGGTTTCCCCGAGCGTGTTTCAGGAGAAATTGTCTTCTGTGACGGCGACAACATCAACACTGACGGTATCTACCCCGGCAAGTACACCTACCAGGACAACGTTTCAGAGGAGATCATGGCCCAGGTGTGCATGGAAAACTACGACGAGCAGTTCGCCTCGATCGCCAAGGCCGGCGACATCCTGGTTACCGGCTTCAACTTTGGCTGCGGTAGCTCCAGAGAACAGGCCGCCACCGCTCTGCTGGCGAAGCGCATCCCGCTTGTTGTTTCTGGAAGCTTCGGTAACATCTTCTCCAGAAACAGCATCAACAACGCCCTGATGGGTCTGGAAGTTCCCCGTCTGATCAGCCGTCTTCGGGAATCCTTCAAATCCGACAAGGCTCTCACCCGCCGGACTGGCTGGACCTTGACCTGGGATGTCCGGAGAAGCCGTCTGGAGATTCAGGAGGGTGAAAACGGACCCAAGTGGACGCACAAGGTCGGTGAACTCCCGCCGAACGTGCAAGAAATTATTGCCAAGGGCGGTTTGGAGAAATGGGTCAAAAATGCCATTGGAGCATAAACATGGAAAGTTCACGGCTGGACCTCGACGAGCTCATTCGGATCCGTGGCGTTTGCATTATACCCAGGTTTTCTTTACACATGCCCCCCCCGACTCTCTTCCTTGCCAGCACTATATGGAGAGGAGTTGAGATTTGCATTATGATATCTTTTTGTCTTATAGAGTTTGGGTTTTCTTCTTTTGTCTATAATACGACTATGGGATGAATTTGTACAGAAAAAAAAGGGCGAGGTTCTGGGATTACGGATATATAGTTCCAATTTATTTGGTGTGTTCATATTCCTTGGGGTTATTTGATATGCGCTTTATGTATTGCTTTTTTCTGTTCATAACTGCATACAGCGCAGTTGTGGCTCTGCTGGATGTGGCAGTGCGAGACGATCTCTGCGATTCAACTCGTCAACAGCAACCAAACGAGCCATTTTCAGGCTGAAGGATTCGTCTGAAATCATAAAAAAGAGGCTGTACCTGCACGAAGAGAGTCCGTCATAATCTCAGCCTCGTCGACGTCGCGATGTCAATTCCTCCCGCTTGCTGTCTTGGTGCCCCCCAATGAATCCTTCTCCCATTGACTTCTTCTTTCCCCTTCCTTTATAACAATCCTTTCGAATGAGCCATTGAGAATCGTTCAATACAACCAAGGCCACCAGCAATGGACCCAGTGTCAGCGTTCGGGTTGGTTTCCGGCGCTTTCCAAATCGCCCAAATCGCCCTGCAAACTGCCCAAGGCCTCACGGCTCTACGCGGGAAATTCGAAAATGCAGACCTCACCATCTGGTCGCTAATCGGAGAATTGAGAACCATCAGATCCGCGCTCATTCATCTAGGCGACTGGGCGCAATTCAATGCGCGTGGTTCCCAGCCGGTGTTCAACAATCACGATGAGGGGCTCAATGTGGCCCTGGAGGGCTGTTCGGTTATCATGGACGTCCTTTCTAGGGAAGTTGCTTCGTTGGCTCAGGGGACGGAGGAGGGGACCGTGGTTGGGTTTCGGGTCAGGGCGAGGGCTGTTTGGAATGAGGGGATTATGAAGGATCATCAGGATCGGTTGCATGCGCAGGTTATGGCGCTGCAGTTGCTGTTGCAGGCTTGTCAATGGTGAGTTGTGTCGATTGTTCGTGTGTTTAATTAACGCTGACGATTTGCAATTGCTAGTCGCACGTCGTCTGAACAGGTCGAATTACTACGGAAGGTCGAAAACCGTCAGATCATCCGAAAAGCTGCTGAGGATACTGCAACTCTTCGAAGTCGTCGAAGTCAATATGCCAATTCTCATGCCGCCACTTCTTCGTTGAGTGTTGTGCAGTCCTCCGTTGGCGAGACGGTCTTCGATTTCGACGATACGGTGATGGCTTCGCCTGCCTATAAACATGCGCTTCGACATACGCGGTCGAGATCAGAACAGCTATCCATCGCAGGTCGCAGTGAGCCCACAGATGAAGGCTATTCAACAGGCATGGCAAACACGCCCAATGCGTCTATACCTTCGAGGTCGCCTTCGATACAGCTGTTACCTATCCAACCCCACGAATCTGTGTCCCCGGACTTCGTCCGCAGAAAGTCCGTCCCCATCAGGCCCAATACGGGGCCATTAAACCAGATCGATATCCGGCGGTGGCAGTCGGAGTCAACGCCTACATCTCTGGGAACCCGTTCGTCAGGTTCAAGGAGTGAAAAGGTCCGCTCGTTTCTGCGTCGCATAAGTACATCAGGGTCGGTTCTTCCAAGGACTTCTGGCACGGCCATTGATCCAGCAGGTGGAAGAAGAAGCCGTGGACGAAACTTCAATATCAGTATCGACCTCAAAACTGCCGATGGCGCCTCTGCGCCATTAATTGTCAAAGCAGCTCAGGCAGGAGCTCGTATTGAAGTTGAACGACTGATCCAGAGCAATCACGATATTGAGGCCCGGCACATCGGTTCGCGACGAAACGCACTTTTGGTGGCAGCTCATTGCGGAAACGAAGAGGTCGTGGATCTGCTAATTCAGAACAATGCACGGCTTGACATCGCAGATGGATCAGGGTCCACGGCGCTGCATCTTGCTGCGTCGCGTGGCCATGTCGAAGTCCTTGGGCTACTTCTCGCTGAGAATGTGGACTTTGAAGCTCGAAACACCCACGGCAGAACCGCTCTCTGGGTGGCCGCTGATCAGGGCCAACTTGATGCTACGCAAATGTTGCTTGCTATGCGTGCCAAGGTGAATTCAAGAGCGGATAACCAGATGACCGCTCTTCACGCTGCGGCGAAACGGGGAAATAAAGAAATTATCGAGCTTCTAAATTCTCAAGGCGCGGATTTAGAAGCAAAAGACGCTGCGTTGATGACGGCCCTACACTACGCCTGCGAAGAAGGTCATTTAGATGTCATTGAAGTACTTCTCAATAGCAAGATGAATATCAACGCGCCAGGGAGCGATAAAAGGACACCGCTTATTTGCGCCGCGGCAATGGGCAAGTTATTAGCAGCTGAGCTTCTGCTAAAGAAGAAGGCTTCTTCGCGATATGTTGACGAAGCAGGGATGACAGCCTTACACTGGGCTGCGTTCAATGGCCACGCGGAGATTGTTAGCATACTTGACCAGAAGAAAGGGCTATCAGCAATGACCAACATCGCCGGACGAACCGCTCTCCATCTTGGTGTCATGAACTCGCAATTTGCGGTGGTAGAGTTGCTTCTTCGCAAGGAAGATGTCTCCCTGGAGGCTCGATGCGATTCGGGGCTCACGCCGTTGCACTATGCATGCACCGCTAACAATTTGGAGATCACGAGACTACTGTTAACTGCAGGCTCTGACCTCGAAGCACAAACTGGAGGAGATCAGCGAACACCGGTTCATATCGCGGCCGCAGGTGGCTCGATGGCGCTACTTAATCTACTCTGTGGCAAAGGTGCATCACTCGATGCTCGAGACGCAATGGGAGACAGAGCCCTCTGCGTTGCATGTCGCCAAGGACATGCAGCCGCAGTTCAGAACCTCCTCAATCGAGGCTCGTCTTTATACCAGAAGTTCGGGAATCGGTTGCACGAAGATTCGCCGCTATGTCTGGCGGCCATGGGTGGTCATTTGCCAGTTGTTTCTCTTATGCTTCAACACGGGGCATCTGCTTCGCGAAGCGATGAGACGGGGTGGCAGCCGGCTCGCTATGCAGCTTACCATGGACATCCTGACGTTCTCCAGCTTTTGCTAGTTAACAGTCCCCCATCGACAAATGCTGGTCTTGACCCTGCACTCACAGCGGAAAGGATCGGGTTCGCACCCCATGTGACGATTCCAGAAGAACGGAAAAATAAAGTGCGAGAGCTATTGGGTCAATCCCAGCGAGATCACCTCTCAATTGAATCCGCTCCAGTACCTGTTTCGAGGGACTTACCACTCCCACCTGCAGCACCCGCTGCCTATAAACCGTACAAGCTTGTGTTGCCCTCCTCGCAAAACGGGGCCCGCAATGTTTCAATTCATGAGGACAGAACCTCCCCCCAGGAGCTTCCGGGTACTTTGGAACAAGGGCTGCCAAATAGCAGATCCGTTACACCAGATCAGATGCGCGGGGAAGTGCGTAACCAGGATACGGACTGGTGGGCGACAACAAGTGTCCAGGGCCCTGCAATTGGGATGAGTGGGCGCGGACGGGTTTCACAACCGAGTTCCATGCAAGAGCCGGATTCTATTCAGCAGCCTCAGCCTCGGGCTGTAAATGCTGCTACCAGCCCTTGGTTTGATAGTATGCAGGCTCAAGCGACAGTTACATGGGGCAATTCTGGAGGGAGTGCTAGGAACATTACTTCCACGCCTAGAATACAACAGCCCTTGCCTAACTCTGGTCTTGGAGGCATCCCTTCATTCGTCTCTCCTCAGCCAACCCCACGAGTATCTATACTTGCTTCTGAGCATGATAATAGGCCGGACGATACGCAAGACATGTCGCGGCGGTTACTCGATCTCCTTCGAAACCAGCCCTCTACGAGCAATAACGATGATGATGAACAGTCTGAGACATCATCAGTGACTAGTGTATACACAGCACCAGAAAGGAGTGGCACTCCTGACATGGTCTACGAACTGCCAGTATGAACAATTTTATATACCATGTTTTGACAGTTATATTTAGCCTAATGACAATGACATTCATTCACTGTTCCCCAACCCGCAAGTGATCCACGGAACTGCGGGGTCGGAGACTAAAATAGGTACGCGATCTATCAAGTAAGCCCCGCGTTGGACTCTTCTCCCTCTTCTCCCTCTTCTTCCACACAACCAACACCAATCCCCCAAACCCACCATGGGCCCAAACACACGAGACACCACCTGCACGCGCTGCAATCGCGATTTCCGCTCCACGGCCTCCAAAAACCACCACACCTGGTTCTCCAAACGGCACCACATCTGCGTCTTCTGCGGCTTCAAGGCAGACTTTAGCACCAAGGATGCTCTGATCAAACATCTCAAGGATGCGCACTACGCGTGCAAATCATGCGGAACGTGGTATAACACGTATGATGAGTTCGAGGCGCACGATACCAAGTTCCATAACCGCTGCGGACTGTGTGATCGGTATTTCGCGAATGAGAATAATCTGCACATGGTGAAGACCCTCCCCTATCCCTGTCCTCAGGCTTGCTCTTGAATATCTACCAGTACCCAATAACCTTTACTTGTACTAACTCAAAACCAGCACCGCCGCATCCACGACCCCCGCGCCCTAAAATGCCACAGCGCCACATGCAAAAAGCACTTCCCCTCCTTCTCAGCCATGCTCATCCACCTAGAAGCAGGCAACTGCCCCGGCGGCACAGACCTCCTTCAAGTCAACATGCTGGCTGAGATCTGCTACCAGGCGCGCAAGTACTTCACGTCGATCAAGGATGCGTGTCCGTTTTTCTGTCTGCGGTGTGGGCGGGAGTATCGGTTGTTGTCGGGGTTGTTTCAGCATGTGGAGACGACACCGGCGTGTAGGGAGTTGGCGGGGAAGGGGGGGTGTTTGGGGAAGTTGGAGAGGTTTATTGCTAAGAAGGTGTAGGGTTATTTGGTGGGGTTGTGTTTGCATAGTGGGATGGAGTATGGGGGCGTATTGGGTGCATGGGATTTGGGGTGCATAGCGTGGTGTTTGTGTTTGTGTATGGTGTAGAGATTTGCATATTGCTATTTCGCTAATAAATTCATGGGTATCGAAGCCCTAACAATGTTTCCTAGAAGCCTAATACGAGTGGAACTCGAGCACTGGAAGCGATTACTTCCCAACACAAAACCTAATCAAGTCAGTCACGCAAACCATACAACTGGGGCTGGAAAAACATACTTCTCAAAAACAACCCCCAACACATCCTCCACATCCCCACTCTCCCCCTTCCCCGTAATCTTCGCAAGCGCATCAGCCGCAAACCGCAAATTCTCCGCAGCAGTCACGATATCCACCTCCTCGCCCAGAAGACTGTCGTCCTGAGAACCTGGCTCCGTTTGTGCCAAAAAGTCGTCAAGATGCTGCTTACACCGCTCCAGATTCGAGCTCTGGCGGTGCGTGACGCCCAGCGAATCCTCCCAGTATGAATGGTCGTATTGGCCGTTATCGTCTCCTTCGATTCCCAGGGGTGAGGCGATTTCTTCGAATGTGCTGATGAGGCCGCGGAGGAAGGTTTGAAGATTTCCGGGGTCTGCACTTGGTTCTAGGGACGATGGCGATAGGGCTTGGGCTTCCTGGCAGGATATGCCGAAGATGCGGTTTTGAGGGACGGTTGGGAAGAGTGCGGTGACCTTCTCGAACAGGATTGGCGGGATTTGAGCGGATGCGGTTCGTTCTGATTGCGGAAGACGATCGCACTTGTTAACCGCAATTAGAATACACTTCCCAGCGTCAATGCAATCCCGAGTAGCATCGACGACCTCCCGCTCAACAGCCAACCGACCACTCTCATCCAACGAAGCAACCACAATCACCACGTCCGACTCCAACGCTCTCTCCCTCGCCCGTCGAATGCCCTCCTTCTCCACGGCTCCAATCGTCACCACTGTATCCCCAGACCCAGCCTCTGCGCGAATCCCAGCCATATCCCCAAGCTTACAATACCATCCTCCCAAATCAACACCAACATCAACGATATCCCTCGTTGTTCCTTCCTCTGTACTAACAATCGCGGCTTCCTTTCCAACAACCCTATTCAGCAACGAACTTTTTCCAGCATTCGGAGCACCCAGAAGCGCAATTCGGATCCCATTCCGTAACAACTCGCCCTTCGACGCATTCGCTATATGGAACCCGATCTGCGACACAAGCACACGCACCTGTCCCGCAACAGACGAAAGCAATTCCCCAGCCGACTCATCAAAATGCTGATCCTCCGCAAAATCAATCAGAGCCTCGAGTTCCCCGCGCGCATACAAAAGCTGATGCCGCCATTGTTCATATCGTTTCGACAACGTATCATTCGCACCCCGCACAGCGAGACGCCGTTGCTGCTCCGTATCAGCGATGAGCGTTTCACCTAGCGCTTCGATCTGAGGAAGATCAAGGCGATCATTCATAAACGCGCGGCGGGTAAATTCACCCGGTTCAGCGTAACGAATTATATTATCGGTACGATTTAAGCCCCCAATTGTGCTCAAGACAGACTTCACAATAGCCGGTCCACCGTGTACATGAAATTCAAGGACATCCTCACCCGTGACTGTCTTGGGGGCGGGGAAGTATAGCACTAATGCCCCGGCATCTAGCACGTTATCGTTATTACTGCCCGGTTCGTAGAGCGTTCGTAGAGCGGCGAGCCGTGGTTTCGGGAGGGATGTATTTGGACATAGGGCTTTGTATATCTATCCGTATCCACTGCGTTAGCAAGGTCCTCAATACACCAGTTGCGGTCAAACTTACCTCCGCACACGCATTTCCCGAAACTCTCACCACGGCAATCGCAGCGCGACCTGACGCTGTCGATAGAGCGTAGATAGTCAAGTCTGTATCTAGACTAAACCGCGCCGGGCGAGTAGCTGAGAAGCATCTCCGGTTCGCCGGTGCCAATGCGGGTGTTGGTAAGGGCGCAGCGGAGCGCAAGATAGGTTGATAGCGGCTACGGAGAGCCGCTACAAAATAACAGCGAGTATTCCATGATGGGCGACGGATTGCCCACCGCAGATTCGAAGATAGAGACAGGCGCATGCGCAAAGATGAGAATGGACGATGGGAGGAGATCTTTTCGGGGCCGGAGATTTGAGGGGATAGTCACGTGCGTTCGTTGTCTTATCTGATAAGGGCTTCACTACAAGTAACGTAATCCACGGCCGAGCCGTCCACACGGCCGTCCCGTCCACTTCCTCCGCAACCACCACGAATTTGAAGCTTTGCAACCACTAACACCATTGAATTAAAATATATAACAGACAAAATATCTAGCTATTTATTAGGGCAGCTTCTTATTGTATGCCCAACAGTCCCACAGCCACTACAGCGTGGTGAAGCGCGTTGACGAGGCATAGGTGTAAGCTCATCAACCTGCTCATTAAGCTGTGTATCAAGCTGCTGTATATGCTCACGGCCTTCTTGTACAGAGATAAATAAATCATTCCCTAGAGAAGCACGTTTCCTTGCCTTCTTCT